TCAATAAACAATACAGAGTACAATACTCTTCAAAAAGCTGTCCGTCAAAATTTCCAAAACTCTTCTCTCTAGAATATGCCCAGAATTGCAAAAATATTATGGCTTGAATTAAGCGAATTTTTTACGTTGATAACCATAGCTAATGCGAAGTGTTTCTTACTTGACTCAGTGAATTATCTGTATTATGAGAACAGGATGGTACGCTTGACAACAATGTAGAATTAGAGATACTTTTTCTACCATCGCTAGATACGTATCCAGTTGTCTAAATAAACAATATCTCAATGTTTCTCTTTATGAAAACTTCTCAAAGTTTTTAATATGCATACGTGACTTGCGTCAGGCACTTTTCTCCTGGAAACATGGATAGAATCAGGAATTTTCGGCCATGTTTTTCTTGGTTTTCTGATCAAGCTCACAATTGGTTTGCTCATATGTTTTACCATTATGCCACCTGTTGCTGATGCTATTTGATGATTCAAATTGAGATATTGTTACTTTTATTTGAAATAAGAGTAAACAGACGAGAAACAGAATGAATATAACTGTTATAAGCTTCATCCGACCACTTCATTATATATAATATTTTAATAAGATGGCCAATATATTTTTCAAGTAGGACGCGTGCATTCAACACGAACTCATTCGAAGAAAAATATTTTTTATGCAAATATTGAAACCTCTAAATGAAAGCTCGAGCGTCGAGTAAAATATATATACATATATTTCACAATGCAGATTTAATTAAATAACTAAGTAGATGCAACCAAAAAAGAATCTTGCAACCGTTGTAATGCTATTTTCTTTACGAATGTATGATGAAACCTAGGAGACGCTTATACAGAAGAGCATGTGATTTTTCTGCTTCATTTATTTGACTATTTTGAATATATAGTATATAATAATGAATTTCAATGTGACCAAGCTTTTATTTATTCGAATTAATAAAGACAACATATTTATGCAATTGATTATCTTCCATCATATATTTGTTTAGAATATGGAAACAAGCCTTCTACCAACACATCAAGTGTGTTTTTCGTTTTACATGCATAGAGAATAATGCCTTCTCCTCTCAGATTTCACAATTTTGCATGCTTCAGCTAGGGTTTATTACTCAAATTACGAATCAGTTAATAAGAGATATGGTGTGTGTCAAAAACTATTGATAGATAAGCTTGACAAAAATGTTGGTGCGATGTAACTATCAGTTAGCTTCATTTAATTTCTATCCTTTACATGTATATGTTGTAGGCAAAATTGAAATTCAGGCAAATTTTAAATTTGCCTAGGCAAAATTGAAATTTTAATTTTGCCCAGTCAAAATTAAAATTTCAATTTTGACTAGACATTGCTTGGGCATAATTGAAACTTCAATTTTGCCTAGGCAAAATTAAAATATAGCTGGGAATAAATTTATACAGTGAAAAAATTAAAATCTGAATAGAAAAACTTTATTATTGAAAAATATTTCTTTATTCAACTAAACAATTCCAAGAGAATACATTTCGACAAAATCTTTTAATCTATTCACCCATATTAGTCTCTTTTATTTTTGATAAAGAACGTGATTGTATGAATTTATTCCTAGCTGTATTTTAATTTTGCCTATGAAAAATTGAAATTTCAATTCTGCCCAAGCAATGTCTAGGCAAAATTGAAATTTTAATTTTGACTGGGCAAAATTAAAATTTCAATTTCAATTTTGCCTAGGCAAATTTAAAATTTGCCTGAATTTCAATTTTGCCTACAACATATATAGAGATATAAATGTTATATGTGCTGATTTATATGCACGAGCTTGATTATGCAAGGAATGAAAAAACAAAGGGAGCATATATAATATGTATAAGAACAACGAAAAGAAGTGAAACCAATGAAAGATCAAAATAGACGAAAGAAGATAGTGATATATGTCGGCGAGCAGCATCACCGTAACATACTTCCCATATTGAACGAAATAATATGTATTATCAATATTTTTGAAAAAAAGAAGCACAGGAAACATGAAAAGAAAATGATGAATAACATCAAAAAGAAAGAAAAAATAACACACTATAACAGTAGAAATTCTTTTCGAAAGAACCAATTAGCATATGAAGCAAATTATAGTATTTTAACAATGCAAAAAAAGTAACGAAAGTATCGAACATATTTTATGGTAATATGCCAAGTTTTATTTTATAGCAAGAACAGCAGCTTTTAATTCTATTTTATTTTATTTTATTTTTTTTATATTTAGAAAGATTTATTTAATAGAATAATACATTTTTTCTTTAAATTTTAATTAATTAATATTGTCGACGTTTCGACAGATCAACTGTCATTGTCAATACAGATGTTAATGATTCATATGACAAAGCAAATATATACGAAGTAAAGAACAAAAAGTGATCATCTATTGTTTTTCCAACAAGAAACCCTACAGAAACCTGTACCATAGTTGAAAACAGTGTTATGAGTGCTCAAAACACTGGACTGTCCTCCTTGGTGGCACATGTTTCACTGATTCCATCTTGACTTTCGGCTTTCTTAATTGTAACCCCTCCGGATAGATGATCGGTGGTACAGAGCAAATTGTTTTGTTCAGCAGGGGCTGATGATCAACTATAGCTAAAGATTCTCTGACTAATAAACGATATTATTTTATATCTCTTATTATAATCTTTCAGCTAGACCAATTAATTCTATGATTGGTTATAATTCAATGTTGTCTTATAGCAAATTTGGGTGTGGATCTGAAACTGTCTATACTTCAATGGCATGCGTACTCACACCGTTACTCACTGTGTTATAAGTCTTTGAATTTCTTGAATTTTTTCGCTTTCTAGAATCTCTTGAGCTCATTCAATTCATTTCATTCTGTGGTTTTCTTGAAACCGACGAAGGGTATGGCATGTGGATGTAGGTGTGGGTGTAGGGGGTGTGGGGGGGCCTGGGTGGGCCTGGGTGTGGGTGTGTGTGGATATCTTGCTCTCATTGACATCCACAGCCACACTCTAATTCTCATTAGAAACTGAAGTGAAAGCATTTTCTTTACAAAAACAGCAGTTTTTTTAAAAATATTTGAATAAAACTATTTGTTTCAGAGAAAATTGATGGTTCTCTTTGAAAACTGACGAGAAAGCTTTCTTTTGTGCATATTTTTCTTATATTCGTTCTGTAGAAAAAAATCGAAAAAACCATTTGATAGCAGCCAACAAAAATTTTCAAGGTGGAATGCTAAGTGTTACAGAAACTTTAGGAGTGGAAAGTCTGCGCGCTTCCCCTTTCTAATTGCATGGCCTGACGATAGAGTTTATCTTTTTTAAACTGTAGTGTTATTACATATTGTTCTTCCCTGGAATATGTATGTTTATAAATGCTGTTATAATAATCGGAATACAAGAAATAGTGATTAGATGTCTTCATTTTGCTTATAAAAGTTTTGAATATTCTCATCATTCTCATATTTAAAATTTGATGATAATTTTCGAAGAAAAAAATGCAAATTCGAATTCTGACATATTTATCGTTTGAAAGAGTGTCGAAAACTATTGTTAACAGTAAATAACCAACCATGAATAGTGATGAATAACCAAATCAAATATGGCGCACGGATATTCACAATTTCAAATGTTCGATGAAAAAACAAGGTGGCTCTATGGTTAACAAAGCAAAAATAAAAGAAAGAGATATGCTAATGTGTTATTTGTCTACTAATGACATATCGTTTACGAGTTAATATCGAAATGATCAGACCATTAGTCGAGATGATGTCATTCAATATAAGACATATACATAGAGCAACACTTTAAAGAAATATGAGCGTCGAAACTGTTATTCGTCCTTCGTCCTTTATATTTACAGTGGGGGCCAATTGAAATTTCCCCTTTTGTTTTTTTTTTGTTTTTGTTACTGTACTTCTTTTATTTGTTAATCTACTATATATAGCGAGAAAGCCCTGAATGCGCTGCATCTTTTGATATATTTATGTTGGGCATCAAATGCAGTTTAAAGTGTGAAAAGTGCATTAGAAAAAAAAAGGGATTTTTTTTACTACAATGCCTGGTGTCGATAATGCGCTAACATGTTTATTTCGCACATATCTTGGCTTAGATAAATGATGAAATCTTGAAAATTTTTCCAAAAGGAGCGCCGCGAAAAGCTCGATAAAACTGTATGGTTGAATTCCTTTTTTTACCTGTTCTAACATTTTGTCTTATAGTCAAAATGAACAACCTATATGACAATTTCCCTTCTCATCAGCTTCAAAACGTTTGGAAGGCTTTTATGTAGGTTGCTCATTTTGACTATAAGAAAAACTGTTAGAACAGGAAAAAAGGAATTCAACCATACAGTTTTATAGAGCTTTTCGCGGCGCGTCTTTTGGAAAAAAATTCAAGATTTCATCATTTATCTAAGCCAAGATATGTGCTAAATACAAAAATGTCGCAACATTACGAACACATAGTAGTAAAAAAAAATATCGCTTTTTTTTCTAATGCACTTTTTACACTTTAAACTGCATTTGACGCTCAACATAAATATACTAAAAGATGCAGCGCATTCAGAGCTTTCTCGATATATATAGTAGATTAACAAATAAAAGAATTACAGTAACAAAACAAAAAAAAAGGAAAGGGGGAATTTCAATTGGTCCCCACTGTACATTATTTATGTGAACTCATCACCGATCTACTGAAAACATGACTTTACTCTTGAAATTTTATGTAATAACACAAATCTTCACTTCGTAGAGTCTTAAAAACATGGTTTGTTATTCTTGTAGGAATTATGGTTAGCCCTATGAGATTTATTAGGAAAAATCTAGCTTAAAATGTACTTTGTTTTATTCTTAATCAATTCTTGATGAATGAATAATGCATTGTAAATGAGTTTACTTTTTATTAGAACATAGATATATGCAATAGTCCCATATATTCTTATCTAGATATTTCTTACAATACTGTATTTTAGGTAATAATGATGTTGAATCGAAAAGAAATATGGTTGAAAAGTCAATGTTGTAAATCGAGTTCTATTTCAAGTTCTTCCGAAAGTCGGTCAATCTTTCCTTTCATCTTCGATATATTACTATGCCAATGAGGTAAACATTTCTTGTAGATAGTCAATGCTTGTTGATAATGATCAAGAGCCAATGTAGGTTTATCAAGCTTTTCGTAAATCTCTCCTATGTTTGATAAACTAAGACCAATGTCCTCATGATCTGCTGGTAGAACTTTGAGACGCATAAAGAAACGATTCTGTTCATATATAAGAGAGAGTTCATGTTCACTTCTCCAACTTTGAACTTGTGACAAACACTCAAGAATGGTAGCAATGGAGAGATCTTTTGGATGTAGACTGGCTTCTTTAACCAGTAAGCATCTTTCCAAATATTCAATAGCCAGATCGAACTGAGACTTTTTATAGAGGTTAGCTGCGACCCAGTGTAGGCAATCAACAATTTCAATATGATCATTAGGATAATATTCTTCGAATATGATCAATGCTTGTTCATAAAATTCAAGAGATTCATCATATTTTCTTTGCTGGAACAAAGTATTACCAATGTCCTTGAGACTTGTAGCAATTCTCAATTGATCATTACATGAGTTACTTCTGAGAAGTGCCAATGCTTGTTGTTGAAAGTCGAAAGCTTCATCATATTTTCTTTGGTTTTTTAAAGTTTGAGCTATGTTATTCAAACAAGTACTAGTATTCGAATGATTCGATGCATGCTTGTTGTATAATGTTAGTGCTCGATGATAGAAACCAAGAGCTTCATCATATTTTCCTTGACCACTCAATATATTACCAATAGTACCGAGACAAGTAGCAAAATTTTCACGGCTGCGTGGATAATATTTCTCATAGATTGTCATAGCTCGTTGATGAAAATCTAAGGCTTCATCATGCCTTTGTTGTAAATATAGGGTGCTACCGATGTTTCGCAGAGTTTCAGCAATATCAACATGATCAGATGGATACCATTTTTCGAGCATCGTTAAAGCTCGTTGAAAATAGTCAATTGCTAGATTGTATTCTTTTTGATTCAATCGAATGTGACCGATGCGATTCAAGCTGTCCGCAATTTTCTCATGACAAGAGGAATACTTTTCTTCTCGAATTATCAATGCTCTCTGCTGAAACTCGATAGCTTCTTCATGTTTTCCTTGTTTACTCAAGATATCAGCAATATCAATGAGAGTATTAACAATATCAACAGGATTCGATGGGCAACATTTTTCGTGAATTCTCAGTGCTTGTTGATAGAAGTCGAGAGCTTCATCATATTTTCGTTGCATGCTCACAATATTAGCGATGTTGCTCAAACTGTAAGCAATATTCACATGATCAGATGTATAATGTTGTTCTCGTATGATCAATGCTCGTTGTTGGAATTCAATAGCTTCATTGTATTTTCCTTGCTCTCTTAGAATATTGGCAATGTTTATCAGATTCTCAGCAATGACATCATGGTTATTTGCATCGAATTCCTGTCGCACTGTTAGTGCTCGTTGATAGAAGTCGAGAGCTTCATCATACTTTCTTTGTTCATAAAGAGCATTCCCAATATTGCTAAGAACGGTAGCGATGTCAGCATAACACCATGGATAAAATTTCTCTCGAATAGCTAATGATCGTTGATAGAAATCAATTGCTTCATCATATTTCTCTTGGCTATAAAGAACATTTCCAATAAAATTTAGGGTCTTCGCGATGTCGGCATGACTATATTCATGATATTTTTCTTGAATGGTCAAAGCTTTTTGATGAAATTCAAGGGCTTCATCATACTTCTTTAGTTTATAAAGAGTACTACCAATAAAACTGAAAGTGTGAGAAACTTCAATGTGATCGTCAGAATAAAAGTTCTCTTGGACTGAAAGTGCTCGTCGATAATAATCAATTGCTGCATCATACTTTCTTTCATCGTACAGAACATGACCGATACGATTGATAATATCAGCTGTGATAATACTGCCTGATGGATATAATTTTTCCTGAAGTTCTAATGCTTTTTGATGATATTCTATTGCTTTATCGAATTTTTGTTCTTGACGAAATGTTGTACCAATATTAATAAGTGTTGTCGTAATACTTCCATGACCATTTGAATAATGTTTCTCTTGCATTTCGAGCGCACGTTCATAAAACTTCAAAGCTTCATCATATTTTTTTTGCTCACTGAAGACATGGCCGATGTAATTGAGAGTATTGGCTATCTCACGCTGATAAGATGGACAATGTTTTTCTTGCATTTCAAGTGCTCTTTGATGGTAATCAAGAGCTTCATCATGCCTGTCTTGCTTGTTTAATATAATGCCAATATTGTTCATATAGAAAGCAATAGAAGAATGATCGGACGCGCGATGTTTTTCTACAGTTGTTCGTGCTTGTCGAAGAAAATCGATTACTTCATTGTACTTTCCTTGCTTATCTAAGATGTTGCTAATGTTGTTGAAACTCCAGGCCATTGAGGCGCTTCCCAAAGGATAATATTTCTGTTGCAGCGCTAGCGCTCGTTGGCAATAGCATAGAGCTTCATCATATTTTGATTGAGCAAACAGTACTTCGAAGATATGATTGAGAGTGTTAGCAATGTTTCCATAATAAGATGGATAATATTTTTCTTGAAGTGCTAATGCTTGTCGATGAAAATCACCAGATTCATCATACTTTCCTTGTTCTCTTTTTATAAAGCCAATGTTGTTTAAAGTACAAATAATAGCATCATGGCCAGGAAAATAATATTTCTGTAGAATTTCCAACACATTCACATAAAATGTCAGGGCTTGATCATAAAGTCCTTGTCCATAGTGAACATTACCTATTCCACAAAGATTATCAGCCATGTCGACATGACCAGATGGATAATGCTTTTGTTGTATTGCCAATGCTCGTTCATAAATCTTCTGAGCTTCATCATGCTTGTCTTCAAGATAAAGAATGTAACCAATATAGTTGAGGATATAGGCAATGTATACATGACCATTTGGATAATATCTTGTATAGATAGACATAGCTCGTTGACAGAAATCGTGAGCTTTATTATACTCTCCTTGATATGTAAGAACGTGACCAATGTAGCCAAGACTAACAGCAATATCAAGATGAGGATATCGATAATATTCTTCGAATATTTTCAGTGCTTGTTGATGAAATATAAGTGCTTCATCATACTTCGCTTGTTGAAAGAGAATTTCTCCAAAACTACGGAGACTCATAGCAATAGGCACACAACCATTCAAGTGAGTCTCACTCAGTTGTAACCAACCAGTTTCCTGTACATATCGACACATTTCTTGTAACTGAGTTTTACTCGACTGCTCGTCAATAGACTCAATTTTATTTACCGCATATTTCGAACGAAACCAACGAGAGGTCGATAAAATCGACCGAAATGACGCGCGAATACGACTCAATACATTGCTGCTTTTGCGGTTCGATGAACGAAATTTATCGACCTCGGAGAAGGAATAATATTCCTTTCTTATTACAAATGCTCGTTCATAATAATCACGAGCTTCTTCATACTTTCCTTCTCGATAGAGAATCTCACCAATATTGAAGAGTATATCAGCTGAATCCTTGATTCGTGTTGATTTTACATTTGTTATCCGATCATAAGCACGATCATAATATCTTCTTGCTTCATTCCATTCTCCTTTCCATTGTAGAACTTCACCAAGACTACATTCAAGCTTTACGAGATCTTCATTGTAGCTATTTGAGTTGTTCAATAAATGTTCAAAGAAATGTTGTGATTGATCCCATTGACCCATATCACACATCAATCGTCCAAAGAGAATTCTAATACTTATATCTTCCATTTGACGATGTGAATCTTTGATATATTTTTCTTTGATAAGTTGACCTGCATTCGATGCACTCATTTTAATCATCCACATGTCTTCTTCCATTCTCATACTCTCCAGTCGAAAAGCAACATTTAAATCGAAGATAATTTCTTGTTGTTCCTCATTTAGAAGTTCATTGCAATGAATGCAATCAGCAACAATGACATTGTTGCTCACCTGTTCTAAATTACATTGGATTTCTAGGAGAACAGGCATAAGATCAGTTCTTTTTGAAGGTTTCATCGCTTGGTTTAATGCAGTTAAACGAAGAGTAGTTGTTGTCAAAAATCCATTAATTGAAACAAGTTTACTTTTGTTCTCTTTGAATTGATCGATTTGATCACTTGTCAATTTCATTCCTCGATACATGAATAGTAATTTGGTACCAGATTGGACAAATTTTTGATGTTCTCGAATGAGACATTCTGTCAGATCTCTCATAAAATATCGAAATGTGAAGAGTTGATCAAAATCTTTTGTTCTCAATGCTTTTTTGATTATTTTGTAGAGGAACGATTTTTTTAAATACCATCGAAGAGCTTCTTCTGATCGATATTCATTTTCAAACTTCTCAATCACTTCCAATTCTTTGATATTGTCTCGATAATACGAACGACTTGCATCAATCATTTCTTGTTTAGCTTTTTCATCATGTATTAACTGAAAGAGAACATCATGATAAAGTTGGAACCAAATAAGATCAGCTGTTTGTTTTGATAGATCTTTCTTGAAATGTTCATCCTGGTCAAAGAAGCTGAATGTTTGTAAATTTTGGTCGAGAAAATCAATTTGTTCTTGAATTGATAAACACAATAAATCGATTTCATCATAGATACCAATCACTTTTGAATGTTCAACAAATAAATGTTCATGATTGACTTTTTCCCAGTTGAAAAGAAATATGCTATCGATTTGAGGTAGACTTGTAATATGAGGTAATATATGTGATGCATCAGAAACCGAAGAGATAAACAAGATTTTCTCATCATAAATCGATTGAATGAAACTGATGCAAGATTCGAGTTGGGTATGGAATACAACATAATCATTGATTTGACTTAGTTGTTTCTTTGTTTGATCTACATGATAGTTGGAATCGATCTTTGAATCAAACCAAATCAAAGTAATATCTTCTTTGTTGTTAATTCTGTTCATTATTTCTGATGGATTTTCTAGAATGATGGAAACACTAAGGATGTGTCAAACAGCCAGTTGAATAAGCAAAGAACCCACTTAAAATCTTGCAATAATAAAAAAAAAAACAGTAATGTCCAAGGCAGAAGAAATGTTTAGGTGTCATATGCTGACTAAGTAGATCTGCTCCGAAAAAAGTTGGCAGAAGAAGCAAACTTGGGAAGGACTAATCAAAGGAATTCAGTTACAAGAAGCCGATTTCTCTTAAGCTTTCAAGAAAGAATTGCCTTTTGGATCGAGTATATATTCAAAAACTCGACTTCAGTGAGTCATTAAACATTCAAGAATGCCACGACCGGACCTGTTTAATTTCAGATATGTAGTAGAGAGAACGTTTTAAGAATTTTTGAAACAAGCTGTTTGGAAAAAAATTTTCCATTTTTCAAGATATTGAAATATTTATGAGGGCTCTATCATCACAAAAGCACATTGTTTGTAAGTTTTTATGATATTCATGTCTCATCAAAGAAGCATCAGTTTTTGGATGGGTTTTATCTCTCCAATATGCGATGGATGGAAGCCCGGCTTATATGGTTCCAGACTATACATTGAGTGCTACAAGGTTATCTAGAAATTCACGTGGGATCTGTGAGAATGGTTTTGAAAACCTTATTGAAACATACCAAAAAATGACACCTTCTTGATAGAAAGTATACTTGAGTTCGGTTCAAAATTCATAGAAATATTTTATTATATAAAATAAATTCTATCCAGCATAAATCAGCTCTTAAACCTTTACTAGCATTCGTAAAAAATATTTTAAAAAATCCTCCTTGGGAAGTACTAGCATTTCGAGAAAATGATTTCTTATGAGAAGCCCGGGAAGGATACAGGGATTTCTCAAAAATTTCACAAAGAACGTACTTTTGTACCATCATACTGTTAACAATAATAAGCACCTATCTCGGTTCAGGAAGCCTTAAAAACCAACTTATTCTAGAGTGTTTAATAACTTATTGAGGTCTATCTTTTGAGTTTATACTCGATTTAAAAGCGATTTGACATCTGAACATGTTCTCTCGTCAGTCATTCTCTTACATGTTTCAAAATCATGAATTAGAAAAGTTTCTATATAGTTTTGAGCACTATAAAAGAAAAGTATTGCATTAAACATAATAGATAATTATTAAAGTCAATCTCGTTCTTAAAATTACCACTAGATAAGACTTGACTACGATGTGCAAATATATAAGATTCGAATGGCAAAAAAAAACACCAATTCTTGGTTATGTGAAAATAGGTAAGCTAATAAGAAAGAAGTAATTACTTTTGTCTCTTCATGTGACTTCACTTACCTATTCAAATGAGACTAGTAGAACGAGTGACAATACTTAAACATGCTTATTGATCAGCTATATGACGCATACTTTATTGAAAGGCAGTGATTGCTTTTTACCAACTACAATTTGCTTATGCGCACAAAAAGAAAATATCTTTTCTGTCACATGTGAATAGGCTATGTAATAGAGATGCGTCACGCTATTGATTTTGTTCTGTTCTTGTGCAATATCAATCTTCTCTCGTTCTCTTACTCATTTTCCAACTTTATGTGTATTATAAATTGCTTCAAACGCGCAATGACGTATCTTTGTAAGTAACATATTTCTTACGAAAGTATTAGAAAAAAAAGTCGAGAGATGTCACGCTTGAATAATCAATTATGGAGAGCATTAGTACAATTAGGATAGATTGCTTATCCTTTTAAATCAGCATTACATTGTTACTGAAGAACATAGAAGTTTCGTATGTATACAAGATGTTTCCGATCATATACACTTTGAGAAAGGAGATATATCGATAAGATGGTGCAATTTGAATTGAAGCAAATGACTTGTCCCCATAATGACCTCTGAAAGTTCGAATCTTTTCATGGTATTTTTATTTTGTTTGGTTCAAGAACGATTTCTCGTATGCTTATATATGGGTCATCGATTTGTCAACCTGTTGAATTTAGTTTTTAATAATTGTGAATATTTTTCTAGAGTATCTCTACATACTGATACATAAGTATATCATAAATCATGATTGTCACTTTTAATCACTAGAAAATCTCAAAAGTTAGACTTCAACTTGAAAGCTTATTTAAGAACGTCTGAGTATCATTCTTCACTTATCATACATCCACGCCCTTCAATAGATCATTACAATCAAAAGTTGAATATTGAATGATAAAATCAACGGCAAAAGCGTAAGCAGTTGCAGCAATGGTTGGGAAAGGCAAAGCTGGTGAAACTTTAAAATCTCTATAGCGAAACATGGAATGGTACATAGATCACCAAGTTGTATGATAATTATGCAGTTGAATCACCTAATCCAATAATGGAAAAACATTCATCCTCATTTTCTTGATCATCGCTCAGTTCATTGATATCATATACGTTGAATAATCAAATACCAAAGCGTCCATCTGTGCTTTCGCTACTGCATCAGCCACCCGCCATTTTGAATGCAAACATATAAAACTATATTCAAAAACAAAATATAGAAAGAATATAGCACCAAAAAATGATTCGTACTAGTGAAGATATCAGTGAACATACTGGAATAGAGAAACGTCGAAAATATATATTTCAATAACTTCAAATTAACTTCAAATAACATTAAATGTTAAATAAAAAAACTTAACTTAATTTTAGGTTACGTTAAATGGTTCATTTATAGTGCATGATTTTCTATTTCGTCGAAGCATTTGCAATTTTATCATCTGAATTGAGAAGAACGGTTAAAAAATCGAATAAGTCTAGTTTGCCTTCTCGAAACTTGCAGGTCAGGTCACTGGCTAACTAAATTTCTTCTTGTCCTGATTAGTTTCTCTATCACAAGAGAACTCTTCCAACTGATAACGTCCGGTCAAGCTCATATTTTGCTCATAGATAGAACTTATAGCGTACATAAAAACTCTAGAAGAGTTCGTGCCATTGTCGGGTCTACGAAAGATGCGCACGACGAAACTTGCGCACGGAAAGATGCGCACGAGAAAGTTACGCACGACAAATCTTGCGCACGATATATATACTCACACGCATTCAGTATCTTGACAAACGTTTACTCAATCTTGTCTCAAATCCTCATCGCAATATTATTGATCAAATCACTGCATTAGCACATAACATTACTCTTAATTGAATATTTTGATTTGAAATATGAACACTCAGTAGTAATATTGTATGTATTTTTATGGACGTTATCATCAACTCTTGTTTTTGTGTCTGATTCATAAATCTAAATATTTCTATTTAAGATTCTAAGAAATAAATAAAACTACTAATTGTTTGTGTTTTTTCTAACTTTTTCTCTCGAAGTAACACTGATTATTAGACAACTCGTGCGCATCTTTCCGTGCGCAACTTTCGCCGTGCGCATCTTTCGGGATCCCATTTTCAAGTTCAATATAGATAACTAGAGTATTTAAACATAAATATGCAATAGACTACTATATAGTTTTGGATACTACATCTATAATTCTTTATGATCGACACAACTGTGTATATACTTGAAATGGATAAAATACCATGCACTATCAGCTTGATATACACTGGTGATGCACTGTTCATACACTGGAAAGTGGTAGCACATAGCACTTAATGCATTTAAAGTGCAGATGCACAATCTAGGATAAGTGAATATTATGCATTTGCAGTAGACATTCCTAGTACATTTTGGTTGAAATTCAGCGCATGAATTATTAAATGGAATGTATATTGATCAAATTTATTTTAGATAGTACGATTTAAATTTTACATGATAGCACATGATCATTTCTTCTCTTTTTTCATATGATCATCATAAATCATGTTTAAAAAAGTATCAAACATTTGCATTACTCATTACTGTATTCTATGATTCGCAATTTTCTTTTTTTTTGTCTTCATAATTATGTATATGTTTGATTCTTTTTTGTTTTTCTTTATCTATGTTGTCATAAACAATCGAGAGAACTAGAGAAACACAAAAAGAAAGTATAAATACAATATAACAAATACTTGATTGTTTTACACATTAGTAATTTTAAAAATATTTGAATACTACATTATATTCACAATTCGAATACATGTATTATCAAAAATAAATTGAATTATGGCAATAAATAATATATTATTTTATATCATTATTACTAATTATATTCATATTAAATAAAATCAATAGTCAAACATTATCAACTGTACCATGTAAACCTGTATTAAATTATTATTTTAAATATTTAACTGCTCCACATCCTGGTATAAATCGTTATTTTCCCATTCAAGCCACATTTATATTACAAGGTAGATATGTTACATATTATATTGGATCTCTTAGTTATGATAAATCATCTGATTCATTAAGTGGGACAGTAACTGCATCATTTAGTGATCGAACATGGACTCCATCATGTGGTACACTTTTTTGTCCTATTCAAATTTTTAATTATAAAAATACTGATATACAAACTATTACAAATTAATAGATTAGGTTCTATTCAATACATATTAAATAGTTGGGGTAATGCAAAATTTAAAGATCAATTACAATGTTATGGTATAAATAAACCATTTTATACAGCACCAACAAAACAATCATCATCTATGTTTGTAATGACATTACAAAAAGCAGAAAATGTTATACCAAAATAAACCTTCTATACACAAATCATCTGTAATATTATTAAAAACAAATTTTTTTGAAAATTAATTGATTTCATTTATCTTTCTATTACGTTTATGTGTTTTCCTTTTATTGATTATTTTATGTAACGAAAATTTAATCATGAACAAAATACATTATATATAATAAGCAATGTTGATAAATATAAGGGTTAAACGTTTATTTCTCTAAATATTTTCTTAAGAAGTTATACTGAGCAAATAATAATGCAGCTTGATAGACCTAGTAGGGTGTGAGCGACTAAAAGGTTTACACCGACACCAATATACACACCGTCGAGAGAAAAATAGACATCCTCGAGTTTAATCCATCATAATTCCTCTGATTTTCAAGAAACTGAAGGAAATTTTTGCTTTTAGTCTACATTCTTGATAAATGATGTACACCTGAATTTTTCAAACCTACAATGCACATCAGAGCTAAGCTAAATATTCAAAATAATTGTACTGAATTATCCAGACGGTTTAACCATATATCATTTTCGGTTTTGGGTTACTGTGGGTAGTGATTTTCTACATACATAGCACATTTATATATACATCCATAGCATTATTTCAAAAGAATAAGTTTCATATTTTTATTAATTTTCTAGCATTTCTCAACATTTTTGCATTTTTTTCTCAGTTCTCTATGGAAAAAGTTGATGCTCAGACTATGTACTTATTTTAGATACATTGAAACGCGAAAATCAATGGCAACATGCTGAATAGATGTTGCGGTACTATTAATTTCAAACATATACCTTTCTTCTCGTGTTATAGTCACCTGTTTATTATGCACACTTTGACAGTAATGAACGTTTTATTTCAATATGACATCATGCTGATTGAAATCTGAATGAGCATTATGGAGTCAGAAAGATTTTTAAACAATTAAACCAAATTGAAGGATTGTGTATTGTAGATGTCAAACTCCTTGATATTAGTGTCATCGCCGAAATGTTTGAGGGCCCAAAATCAAATTTTGTATCGACCAGCTGGAAGTTTGCTAGTTTGATAAATTGATTGAGTTCCATGTCAAACTACTGTTCTGACCGATCCAAACCAAGCATAAGTAGAACGTACAGAAAAGTGCACATTGGTTCCTGAAGTGCTAAGAACATGTCTTGGTACATGTTGGAAGTACAATAGATCTGTTGTATGATTATTGCAGACAAGACCATAGCTATGAAATATAAAGAGTAATAGTTATAAGAAACTAGGGTGTGGATGTGGGTGTCTGTGTGGGCGGATGTAACTGTTAATATTATTTTCGCTTGCAATTCGTTCATACCCACACCCTCAATCGATTGAGGTTGTGTTGAATTCATAGACAACCTTTGAGAGATCAAAGTTCTGATTGAATCTAGAAAAATTCAATAAGCTTTATAGATTCATGAAAAAAAGCTCTGAGTTTATGAAAAAGGTGTGGATGTGCGTTAAGATAGGAGCTACACCAGCTCTGTCAAGCATTTAACTATAATCCAAATAGTGGCTTAAATGGTCAATGAAGTTCTTTATCAAAAGTATTCCATACACAAATGTCATAGATGATCTATGAGAGAAAGATCTCTGAAAAACCATACACGATAATTTTTGCAGGTCTCGGAATACTTTGTGAAAATTAGTTTTGAAGAGTATCAATTTAAAGAATACAAAATCCTGAGTAAAATGAGAAGTTGTCGCACATCAAATCAGAGATCAAAACGAATAAGAAATTCGCTTGGACTTCAGTATTTGTAAAATATAACCTTCCTCTAAAAGTTAAAAGCATTAAAGATGCAGTTTTGTTGTCTTTTATTATGCTTATGGCTTTTTAAGGGAAGGTTATATGAATTACAGCAACCCCTCCCCTCCCATTTTACTCCGGATTTTCTATTCTCTAAGTTGTTACTCTTCAAAATTAATTGTGATAAAGTATTCCGAGACCTGCAAAAATTATCGTACATGGTTTTTTTGAAAAGCCTTTTTCATAGAGTATCTATGGAATTTCGATATGGAATGCATTTGATAAAGAATTCGACTGACTATCCAAATCACTATTTGGATTTAAGTTAAGCTTTGGATATCGTAGAAAAAAACCAAAAGTACGTGAATCTTGTATTTTTGTTCAGTAAGAAAATAGGCTGATTTCTACCTAACAGACTAACACTTTGATTACCAACAATGAATATGTACGTCACAAATTTTTTCGATCAGACAAAACTTTTTTAATCGCGTATAATGCGTATTGGTAGCTACATTCCAGTAAAGGCTACTGTCAAGCATCATTCCTTACGAACCATGCTAGATTATTGCGTTAAGAAATACAAATGCCCTTGGTATATAGCCGTTCTTCTTTATGTATGTTTACCTTTTAGTAATAAACAAAGGATTAAATAAGAGATAAACTTTCCAAAAGCCTACAATATTTAGTAATAAAAAAAATGATTTTATACATGAAAAAAGAAAATAATACTGTCGACTTGGCTGTTTTCAGCAACTTGCCGTATAGAAATGTTGAGAGCAACCTTTTCTTGTTCTTTCAGTATTTCATCACTTTTTCTTTGAAACAAGAGCAGAATGACAAACACGAAATATTGGTTGTTTTTGTTGCTGACATTTGGATCTACTTTCTCAGTCAATTTTGTTTACATAGAGCAAGACCGGCCGGCTTGCACAGAGACATGATATGGTTTATTTTCATTTGAAAAATAATGAATATACGTATTTCACAATCATCAAACTACATGTAACTCGGATAATAAAAATAATAATAAGTATTAAAGTCTCAAACAAAGCATTTTAACAATCACAATAAAAGCAACAGAAACTAACGAAGATTCTACGATATGAAGATGAATTGTGAAAATGATGGAAATACAACTAAAACATTAATAATACAAATGACTCAAATAAGTTGAGACAAGAAAAGCTATCGAGTTATACACATTTATTTAATTCATCTTTGTATTTAAAAATAAACGATTAGAGAGATATTACAAATGATCAGTACCAATTGAACCAATGAAATGTCATCGATCACACGAATATCACTTCAAATTCGATTGCTTGCCACCATCGCTTTTGAATTGTTTCTATTTGATCCATTAATTCATCATCGTATAACATATTACCCATTATCTTCAATGTTATTTTCTTCAACTGGTGAAAACCCTTGGCTAGTCTACTCCATTGATTTAAATCTACTGTGCTCATTACATTATATGTGTTAGTAATTAATCGAACATGTCGAATATGAGTCATAGTTGTGATCAAATCAATTGTTGTCATCAATATGCATGACTGATGCTGTTGCAAGCAATTGCTTATTGATGGTAACGGAAATTCACCCATATCAAGAAGAAAATATTCAATAGCAGGCTTGTTTAAAGAAATCATACTATATTGATCTGTATAAAAATGAGAGCAAGCTAATGCTGAACAATGAATTTCAAATCGTTTGATTGAACTTGGCATGTACTCAGTAATACGACTGAAAAAACCCAAACTAACTTCATGATCATACCAAAGTGAAAGACGGATTAATTTAGGAAGATATTTTTCGTACTGTTTGATTGACTTTATTTCTTGAAAGTTGAGAAGAGTCAATGAGATAACATTAGTAAACATAATCAATGAATCTAATTCTGACTGTGTCGAATACCAAGTTGTGTCTAGACGTAAGGAAACGATTTGTTCAGGCTTGAGTTTTCTAGCAATCGTATTAATAAATACATTTGAAGGCTGACAAATCTCGACTTTTGTTTCATATTGACGTAGTGAAGGAAGAATATTAGCAGAAAATACATTGATCGCATCATTTAGTGTGAGATATTTGACTATTTCACACATGATATCATAACAAAGACGAGTCTTAGTAATAAAGTTGAATGACTAAAAAGAAGTAAACAAAAACTAAAAGAATTTCTTATGATTTGTTCGATTTCTCAGAATTGCACTTTTTATGAAACACAATCTAACACTAGTTTTTCAATCAGATAAAATAGAAATTTGGACTCATTATCACTTCCCTTCCTATATCGTCAAAGGGCTTGACACGTACTTGGATAATTTAGTCTATCCAACCAATAAGAATAATAAGATTGGCATGTGCAGATGCTCCTTAATAAGGCATAAAATATCTACAACAAATACTCACTAAAGCTTGTTCATTTTCATCACATTCTTCTTTGAAAATAGCCAATTCATTAAGTACAGTTTCTCGATTAGATTTCACTTGAGTTCGCGTCAAAGTATCACCGACGAGCAATGATTTGACTTGATATTCGACTTTTACCGAATCGTTCTTTTTCTCTTCAAAAAGTCGCATGATACCAATAAGCATTGGACATTGTTCTTCGTTAAAATTATCGTGCACTTGAGTCGAGAACATTTCTTCCCAAACACTTCTCAATCTAATTGAAAAAAAAAAGAAAATTGTTCCTTACGAAAATATACAGATGCTGCTGAACCTATTTCTATTGCATTCAAAAGTTACATCACATGGCCATACAATATAATTTTCAAGTAGATAATCGATAATAGTTGACGAACAGAATATGCTACAACAAAATATGTTATTGAACATATTCTCATCATTGTGTATATAGACAAGTACTGGACGACGCTACATTGAAATATATTTGTATTTGTATTTATAATCATACGAACAGATATGAACGTACTTCTTTAATTACTGTTGAGCTGAAAGCTTCTTCACATGCATTTTGAAGAGAACCCATGAAGAATGCTGGACAACAAGCATAACGTCGTTGGAGACGTTGACATAAGGATTCAATAGCAGTGACTTCATTTTCACATTCCTCGAAAACTTTAATATAATTTATCAGTCAAAAATTTCATTTCTTTTATTCAATAAATGAAGAATAACTTACAAAAGATACGAGATATGTAATTATTGTCATCGTCAGAACTATCGCTATGACGTCTTTTTGGACTCTTCACCTAGATAAAAAGAATGAATAGAATTGCTTTTCAACGACCTCTAT